TCTCCAGCCCTCACTCCAATCTCCCTCAGATCTTCCTGTACATCGTCCAGATATCTGAGTTTAGGTCGCCCCCTTCTTCTTCTTCCGACCGGCCTGTTTAGCATAGTTATTTTAGTGGGGTTACTCTCATCCATCCGCATAACGTGGCCCACCCACCTAAGGCGGTTTATTTTGATGGTCTTCACAATATCTGCATCACCAAAAAGTCTATAGAGTTCAAAGTTATATCGCCTTCTCCACAGACCCTGTTCGTTTACTTCGCCATATATGGTCCTCAATACTTTTCTTTCAAAAACTCGTAGTAACTCTTCATCTTGGGTCGCCATTGCCCATGTTTCCGATCCGTATGTGAGCACTGGGCGTATTATTGTTTTATAAAGTTTGCATTTTGAAGCTATTGACATACTTCTCACTCTTAGTTGAGGGCCCAGGCCAAAATAACAGCGGTTAGCCACGCATATTCTTTTTTTATCTCTTTGGATGGGTTATTTTTGTAGTCTATCAGTGATCCTAAGTAGCAGAATTCTTCTACCGTTTCTATCGTTTCGTGTTTCTTGATATGGCCGGCATATATTTAGTTTTCTGGATGTTAATCAGAAGTCCGATGTTTTCTGCGGCATTTTTGATACGTGTAAAAGCCTCCACTGCTTCATTTTGGGTTCTTCCAATTATGACGATATCATCAGCGTATGTCATTATTTGTATACTACGGGTATATATCGTACCTTTTAAGTTTATTCCCGAATCTCTCATAACTTTTTCTAACGCTAGGTTGAACAGCATGCACGATAGCGCATCTCCCTGGCGCAGTCCTCTGTTGGTTTTAAATGGTTTTGAAACATCCCCTTGTACGCGCACTTTACATTCGACTTTCATCATTGTCATGTTAATTAATTCTACCAAACCTTTTGGTATTCCTAATTCGATCATCGCCGAATATAATTGGGACCTGTCAATAGTATCGTACGCTGGCTTAAAGTCTACGAAGATGTAATGGCAGTCTATGTTGTACTCCGTCGTTTTTTCTATTTGTCTGATGGATGATATCTGATCAATGGTAGATTTGTTTTTTAAGAAGCCTTTTTGGTAGGATCCTATTATATTGTCAGTTTGAATTGAAGCACTACATATAAAAACCGTAACGTTTAAAAATAAAAAAGTATTTGTTTTGAAAGCAAATCTAACTGTCAATAAATGAAAATATTGTATAAATTACTACAACAATACCTAATTTATCATGCAGTTTTATCATACCTTGTGCTAAAATGAAGTTGAACCATAGCCCACTACAGTTAATATTGTTAGACCGTCTTCCATATGACACCCGCAGACCTAAATTAATTGCAACCGAAGAAACACCACAAATATGTTAAGAAACTACTTATTTTAATATTATTTGCCCAAAAATAAAGAAATATCATTAATATCCATTTTTTACCTATATTTTAGGAAAATAAACATTTATAAGTACGTTTAACGTAAATAAAACAAAAAAATTTAATAAAATATCAATTTTGTAGCATTATAAATGTGTGTTATTCATTTATTAACTTTATCTTTCATTTTACTATTTTTATTTTAAAAATAATTGACGACCAATTCTTTAATTAACTAAATATCCTATTAAATCTTTATTTGTCATTTTCAATCATCATTTATTTCAGTTATATATCCAGTATTTGACTCATTCCAGTCTGTTCTATGTCACAGACATGGAACATATAAATTTCTATGCCTCACTTCTTAGACAATGAAAGAGAGAGGACAGGTAATGCTCATTTAATAAACCTTCACAAAGTGAGTCCAGTTTGGATGTGGCCGCCATGTTTTGGTGCCTGTACGTTACTCATTACTACCTGTCGCAGGGTTAACAGGTCTACTGATTTTTCAGTAGATCTACTGATTTGAACTTTAATTTACTGATTTACTAAAACACTATATCGATCTACTAAAAAATATGTAATGATAAAATCATGTTCACAAAATGATCATTATGTCAGTGTTCAATTATAAATTTTGGAAAAAATCTATTTATTGATATATCCATTAATTTCAATCTTCTGAAGAAATAAAATATGACCTGGCAACCGTTCTGGTGTCGGTTTAGGCTTCAGTTAATTCCATACGAATACACGTTCCCTCTCTTTTCTTGTCTAAGCCTCACTTCAATAGACACTATATCTATTAGTTGGCAGCTGTGGCGGTTGTGGTGCACCACAATGCCATATGGGATGACAACTCTATAGATATGCAAAATCTAATAGCTGCTCAGAAATAAAACGAGCTCGATCCCGGCATCTCCAGCAAGTTATCCTGTGACTGTATCAGCAACTAACCACTACATTCTACAATCCTTTGAAGCGAACAAATACCTTATTCTAGTTTGAGCTGTTAAAATAGAGTTGAGAGATAAAGAGAACCATAAGCTGGCGTTGCACGGGTCATTTAAGTCAAAAATTAACAAAATTCCTGCTCTAAAATAAAAAAATATTGCCCGTGAACCGAATACCAAAACCAGGTAGGATGGACTACACTTTACCAAAGGCTTTCTGACCAACTAGCATAACATCGTTTCTCTTGAAAACGATGGAAGAGATACGACAGGTACATAAGGGATGAAGTTCTGGTCCATAATCCACTTGACCCAAATCAGCATGAATATAATTCGGGAAGATCTACTGATTCTGCACTGCCTTAAGTATTGGGAAGAATTGAAATATCGCTGGATAGTAAAGAATTCACCCTAGCTATATTCATAGAAATTGATAAAACCACATTACTAACCATCAACCTACAGCTCAATGTGAGGAATGTTTCTCTGGCAGTAAGCGAATGGATATTCAGTATGCTTTCTAATCGAGCAATAAGCATAAATGTAAAAGACATTTCTGTCAGAGGCATGGTTACGAACGTGGGGGTGTCCACAGGGAGGGGTGCTATCACCACTCCTCTGGAACATACTTGGTGTACCTGGTTGACCAACTCAGCAGCAACGGGCCCTACTCAATAGCGTAGATTCTACACAATTTGCCTTAACAGGAAGTTTACATGGAACTTACACTTCGATGGTAGAGCGAAAAGACCATGTATTGCCTATGGGCAATGCCAACGAACGGTTGGACGCACTTGGGCCTTTGCTAAGAGTGATCGCCTGGGTCTACACTGCTGTTATTAGGCCAATGCTCACTTACGGAGTTATTCTTTCTTCTTTGGGTGCCGTCTTCAATGAAGGTTGGCGATAACCTCAGCAAAATCATTTCTGTCCCTGGCTTTTCTTATTAAAGATTGAGAATCCAAACCAGTCCACTCACGAATGTTCTTCAACCAGGACGCCTGCCGTCTACCAGGGCCACGTTTTCCTTCTACCTTCCCCTCTATAAGAAGCTGCAGTAGCTGGTATTTCTCATTTCTGTATATGTGTCCCAAATATGAGGTTTTCCGTGTTTTCATTATTTTTAAGAGTTCTCTGTCGGTACCCATCTTGTGTAGGACCTGCTCGTTGCTCATATGCGCTGTCCAGGGGACTTTCAGCATCCTTCGAAATAACCACATTTCAAAACTTTCCAAACGCCTTAGTGAGTTGATTTTGAAGGTCCAGGCCTCCATTCCATATAGTAAGGTGCTGTAAACATAACATTTCAGCATTCGGTATCGGATTTTGAGATTGAGTGTTTGGGACGTAAACATTTGTTTCATTTTTAAAAAGACATTTCTTGCTTGTTCAATTCGCGATTTTATTTCTATGTCTGGATCTATATCTTTCGTTATCCAGCACCCTAGCAATAACGGAGAATAAGAAAATAAGAACCCAAGCAATACGGAGTTATTGCTTGGGTTAAAAAAGTGCTACAGGAAACAGCGATTAACAAACTAAACCATATCTAGCAGATGGCTTGCATAAACATAACAGGTCCCAAGACAACAACACCAACTACTGCAATGGACATGATCATTGGCATCACGCCTCTAGACATATATGTCAAAGAGCTGGCGCTGGTAACAATAATGTGACTGCGCTCAACTGGTGCAAACCTTGATGTAGGAATGGGATAATTAAGAACTAGTTTTTAATGGGCAAAGCTGGATGCGATACCTTTGCTACAGACAGGCTGCGACTCGATTAAGCCAAAGTTTGTCTTTGACAAACCCTACAGAATCAAAACAAGACAGTAGAGGGAGAAAAAAGTGGCAAATACGTACTACTTATACACCTATAGCTCCAAAATGGAAGAAAGCTGATAATGGGGATATACTCCAGATCACTGAACCTAAAAATAAGGTGGGATATGGACAAAAATGACAGCGTAGTTCAAAGAGAACTGGCTAGTAAAAGAAATAATCCAAAACTCTAATACTCTGCACAGGGCAAACTATAATAATCTGCACAGATAGCAAACAAGCAAACAAACAACCTTGAATAGACCACGTGTCACATCAGAGTCAGTAATGGAGGGTCACGAGTCACTAACTCAAGCTACAGATGGTAATACCATCATCCTAAGGTGGGTTAAAGAACACAATAGGAATAAAGGCAATCGCATTGTTGACCAGTTGGCTAGGAAGGCGGCAGGTCTTTTTGGTTGGTCAACTGACAGCTCCCTGGGAGGATGAACAATGGGTCAATTATGGCCTAAGTGCTATGGAACTTAACTCGCCCTCCCTACTCTATAGAAACAGATACAAGTAGTGTTCTAATAACCTATTAATTCAATTTTGGTTTTAGTTTTTTTCTGGCTTCCTCTCTTGTTTTCTATAATAATATTTATAATATTTCTATAAACTCTACTCAGTGTAGTACTGACAAGATCTAATAAGTTTTTAAACTTATTTTTAAACAAAGTAAACTATTTAATATAATATTAAACATATTAATAAAAGGTGCAAACAAAAAAAGCTTTATTTAAAGTTTACCTCGAATACAAAGTGAATGTTCATTAGTTATACTTTACATATAAAACCAAGTATAAAGTGTCTTATTTTAGCTCTTAACATATTTGTGGTTATTTTAAATATTTAAAATCACTCACCAACATCTCGTCGTCTGGAATTCTCGACAAAAGGTCGAGAATTTCATTATTGGGCACTGAATGAGGTCTCAATATCCTTCTAAAGAATTTGTTAATACCCCACAACATTAGTAAGTACCTAATTGGCAGGATGTACAAGACTACCGTCGCTACAACCAGCAGGAATATGGCTATGCATGATAAGTAAGGAACTGTGAAGTTGAACATACTGAAAATGAAAAAAATATATCTTTAGAAGTATTTTAAACATAACAAAGATTTAATGAAAAAAGAAAAAAACTAATGAACTAAATATATTGTTGGCTTCAGGACTTCACCTTCTTTATGGTATAAATATAATATTAACTAGTTTTCTCCATGTAAATGTACTTGAGTGTATTTGCTTTTTTACTTTATATTATTCTTATTAATATTCGATCGATTAGAAATAAGACAGACGAATTATTTTTGTTTCTGGAAGAATTAGGGTTTCCCCAGTTAGTTGCAGTGACGGAACACTGGCTTGAAGTTAATGAGCCAATTTTCATTCAAGAATATACCACAATTGCTAGGTATGATCGTCCAAGTTCAGCTCATGGTGGCACCCTGATTCTTTCAAATAACAATGATTTTTCTTCAGTTTCGAAATATGACTATTTGCTGGGTGAAAACTACTTTGAATTTTCTTTGATTTTTAATAAGAAATTTAATCTATACATTATTTGCATTTATAGATCACCTAGCTCTGATACTGAACTATTTTTCAGAGCCTGCTAAATTTGTTAGATATTCTGTCCATTAAAAGCAGAAAAATTTTATGTGGTGATTTTAATATTGACTACGCTGCTGTTTGTGCGACCCAACTGTCTTTGGTAACTATTTTTGAATCATATGGTCTCACAATGCACGTTAATTCTCCAACAAGAATCTCAAAAACATTATCCTCGACAATTGATTATGTGGTTTCCGATTTTCCACCCGCTGACGTCCATTCTACAGTTATTAGTGGGGGGCTTTCTGATCATGAAACGGTATATACCAAGTTTAGCAGTTTACAAACACCTCACTCAAAAACCCGACGATTAGGTAGGATTTTTTCCACTCAAAACTTTCGTAAATTCTATAATTCATGCTTGACTTCTGACTGGAGTTTTTCTTCTGGAGACATTGACTGTAATGTTAGTGATTTTCTAAATAGACTTGTATCTATTTTTAATAAAGCATTTCCTCTATTAAACATCAGGCCAAAACATAATAAACCTTGGATTACCAAAGGCATTCGCATATCTGCGAAAAATATGCGTTCTCTGCTATATATTAAAAAATTTAATGACAGTATCCCCATCTCTGATTATATCAACAAGTACAGAAAATGCTATATAAAACTACTCAAAGTAGCCAAAAAATCCTACTTTCATAATCGCTTAACAAGCTCCAAAAATATTTCAAAAGAAACTTGGTCAATAATAAACGATTTTCGAAATAAAACCAGTACAGCGGATCAAACCTTTTCTTTTCCAAACCCCGAAAATCTAAATGATTACTTTGTTAATGTGAGTAAAAAATATAACCACAACTATTTCGCCACATCAAGATCCAGTTTCCTATCTCTCTAATTTAAAAAACATTGCTGATACCTTCTTTTTAAGACCAGTTGATAAGACGGAACTCATTTCAACAATTCGTAGTATAAAAAGCACATCGTCCTGTAGTACAGATGGATTATCTATTAAAATTTTCTCAAATCTACCGCATAATGTTTTGGACGTCATGGTCTCGCTAGTAAATGATTCCCTTGTAAAAGGTACATTCCCTAACTGCCTAAAGACTGCCATCGTCATTCCTCTTCATAAAGGTGGAGAAAAATCTGATGCCTGCAACTATAGACCTATTGCCTTGTTACCAGCACTATCAAAAATTATTGAAAGACTTATAAAAGTTCGACTTATGCCCTTTCTCCTTACATATAATATTTTATCGCAAAATCAGTTCGGCTTTTTGTCTAATAAATGCACTAGTGATGCCATATTTTCTGTGTTACATGATGTATATCTATCACTAAACAGTAACCTCTCCTCCGCCACCGTTTTCTGCGACTATTCCAAAGCCTTTGACTGCGTAAATCAAGACATTCTATTAAAAAAATTAACTTTCTATGGAATTCGGGGTGTGTCTTTGAACTGGTTCAAAACTTACTTGGTAGGTAGGAAACAATTGGTTAGAATAAATGACACCGACTCTACTTGTAAAGATATTGAGTGTGGAGTACCGCAAGGTTCAGTATTAGGTCCCATTCTTTTTTTACTTTTCATTAATGACATCACTTACTTAAAAATTAAAGGGAAAATTTTTCTATTTGCTGATGATACCAGTATTACTTGGAGCAGCTCTGATATTTCAACGCTTCATTCAATTATAACCGATGATTTACTTATAATCAAGGCTTGGTCAGACTCCAACTTACTTAGCTTTAACGTGGATAAGACTGTAGCATTATCGTATAAAGGAGTCATGCAACCCTTGCTTTTGAATGAGAGCCAAATCAATATCGCAAATTCCGTGAAATTTCTAGGTATTCTCATTGACAGTGATCTCAAATGGTCCTTGCATACTGACTCCTTAAGGAAGAAACTAGCCTCAGCTTGCTTTGCAATAAGATCTGTTTCGAAGGAACTAAATTTATCTTCTGCCAAAATGGCATATTTCTCATTGTTCGAGTCCCATCTTCGATATGGGCTTCCATTTTGGGGTTCTAGTACAGCGGCCCAACTTGATACTATTTTTAAGTTGCAAAAAAGAGCAATCCGTTATCTATTCGGTCTCAAACAAACAACTCATTGCAAGACCTACTTCAAAAATCACGGAATTTTGACGCTTCCCTCTTTATTTATTTTGGAAACGGTTTGTTTGATTCGAAAGCATCTAAACATTTTTCCCGATAGACCTGACCATGGCTCATCATCATCACTGGCTCGACAACCCTTTTTGGGTCTTGGCCTGTTCAAGGATTCTTCTCCATTCTGACCTGTTTCGTGCTTTTTTTTTTCCAGTTTTTAATTTTTAATGTTGTTATATCATTTTCTATTTGTTCTACGTATCTCAGCTTCGGTCTTCCTCTTGTTCTTTTTCCTACTGGCACTTGTTTGAATATTTTGTTTGGTATTTCGCCTTCTTCCATTCTTTCCACATGTCCAATCCAACGTAGCCTTCCTATTTTAATGAATGTTATGATATCCGGATCCTGGTATATGTTGTATAGTTCAAAGTTATACCTTCTCCGCCAAATCCCGTTTTCTTTTGTGCCCTTATATATGTGTCGCAAGATTTTTCTTTCAAAGGTGGCTAATAACGTTTCCTCCCTTTTAGAGAGTGTCCAGGTTTCTGAACCGTATGTGAGTACCGGTCTTATTAAGGTTTTGTATATTTGGCATTTTGTTTTTCTGGAGACGTTATCTGATCTTAGTTGCCTAATTAAGCCATGGTAACATTTATTGGCAATAAATATTCTCCTCTTCACTTCCTCTGCAACGTTGTTATCAGACGTAACTAGGGATCCTAAGTTAGGATCCCTGACCATGGCTACTCCATTAGAAATTCGGATTGTAACGTTTATTTGCCGATCCCGTCCACTCATCATCATCATCATTGGCTTTTACAACTCTTCGTGAGTTTTTGCCGCGTTTACTATTGCCTTCCATTGATTCCGATCCTGTGCTAATATTTCCCATGGCCTTACTTCCATCTTCTCCAGGTCTTCCCTGACAGCGTCTTTCCACCTTTTTCTAGGCCTTCCTGTCGATCTTTTACCATCTGGTCTTTACCAAAATACATTGCTAATCAGTCTGTCGTCATCACTTCGTACCACGTGGCCTGCCCATCTTAATCTATTGGCTTTTATGTATCTTACGATGTTTCCTTTCCCGAAGAGAGTCTCTATTTCATTGTTGTATCTGCTCCTCCATTCATTTGTCACGCTGTCCCTGCAAGGACCATATATAATTCGCAGGATTTTGCGTTCCCATACTAATAGCATCCCGTCCACTCAGCTAGTAAAGAATTCTATTCTATATCGTGCAAAGAAACTTTATAATCACCTTCCAAGAGAAATTAAATCCGCAACATCCTTCATTAAGTTTCGTAAGGTGACAAAAATCTATCTCTCAGAAAGACCATATTATTCAGTTGACGAGTTTCTTAATGTATAACAAAGAAACAAAATTAGTATTGTTTATAATTACATTTGGGTGTCTCAAGCAGTGGCTACAATTTGTCTCATTTGTTGTTGTCTGTACAAATTATGTAGGTTATACAATAATTTTACTAATTTAAAATTGTGTTATTCTGTTTTTTACTATATTGTTTTTGTTTTATACTTTTTGTATTATTTGACTGATTTATTATTTTTTAGCTTTGTCCATAAAATTGTTCAATAATTTTCAGTGACAATAAAGCATATTTCTATTCTATTCTATTCTATTTAATTCATTTTATTTTAAAATGATGAAAATATTGCCAATGTGGCTCGATAATACTAATGTATAAGAGATATATCAATTCTCACAATCTTAACTAGTTTTGTATTGTAGAATTTTAGGCTACCAGTTCGGGGCTTATAATATATGCCCATCATCAGGCCCGAAGTATATAGGTCTTCGTTCTAACATTGTTGAAGGAGGTGTTTTTCAAGAAAAATCCTTGGATTTTTCTATAGTGTATTTTTATGTATGAGAGAGTAATAAAACAATAAATTATGTATGCAAATCCCTAAACTGTTGATACGGGTGTCTCAATGAAAAACAGATATTTGTCAACAAGTTTACAGAAGTATATAGGAAAACAATTTTAAATTGAGATGACCACCAGGTATAAAGGTTGGAGCAGAATAGAATACAATAGTTGTGAGGGTTACTAATCCCTAAATAAGGTTGCCAGTGTCGGAGTGATGGAGGTTAACAGGTACTAATGAATTTGCAAGAAATGTAAGATGTTTATTTTATTGGTTATATATAACCAATAAAAGTTTAACAAGTACCTACCTATTTGCAAAATAAAGTTTAATTCTTTAGATAAAATAAAACGTTTTATTTTATAAAACGTTTTATTTTATCTGAAATGAGTGCATTCCACGAAGTAAGGGTTTCAACAATTAAACATGTAATTCTTTAATTCCAGGAATCTACGACAGTAATTGACTAGATAATTACCTTCTAAACTTATTCCACAGAAAAT